CCCCTCGTCTAGCAGTGTCAACAACACACCTGTACGATCACCTGATCTTGGTTTGATCTTGTCATGTTTCAAGCAGTGACAAGGACGTACCTTGACTTAACACATTTTCAACATTTGCAAATCATTCCTATCTATACATTTCTCAAGAATAATCGGCGACTAGCCATAACGTCTTAACACACTGTTTGCCAAACGGTTTTGCCAACCTGGCCACCCGATTCGTTAGTCGCCTCTTGCCACAAGCAAAGTCGCCTTTTACCCCAGACTTGGGTTGCTGAAGACCAATTCTATCCTGGATCTTCACGGGTCGGGATCGGAGAGTAGTCACGCTCAGATTGATGGGAGTATAAGCATGGGCACTTTTAAAACTGAAATAAAGATTTCAATATGGGTCTTTGTGTCAGACACGGTAGGCATGGAGAACGATTCTGTCAGGTTAATCAACTCCCAGGAATCATTATGCACCTGGTGTATAAATCTCACACTATAGCACATGGCATTGTTACCATGTGCATTGTGCTTGTTTGGCAAAATCGGTTCGCAAACTCATAAACACACAGGAAGAGCCCCAAACACAGCTATGAGGTTGATCAGGCAACACTGTTTCAAAGTGATGCCTGGCGGTTCCTATACATCGCATATGTTATAATGGGGGCCTCGCTATTAGGACTAAAGTCGGAGATAAGCAGTTGTTATTTCACTTATAATGACACGTTTTTAAGTTTTGTTTTGATTTAGGGAGTTTATAACTGTGGTAAATGGTCTACTTAATTCATGTTCACTTGCAACAGTGAAACAATGTCTCTTATAGTTTCCCGGAGAAACTGCGTAGTCTCTGTGAATTTGATTAGAGGAATGACTGAAGCACTAAGATGATTCATTTAATTATTAAATGTTAATATACCCCGCACCCCACCCACCCCACACAAAATCCAGGTGAGCGACTGGTAGTGAATTGCCACTGTGTTAGCAATGAACAAAAATGATGCGGGCCTCTGAAACACGCCCGCCTTTCATACAGGCTGTGTCAACTGCATGCATGAAACTAATAGACTCATGAAACTCAGAGGCGCGTGGGCGCCAAATAGAGGGAATAGGGCACCTTAGAGCTTACAGTCAGTTTGGTACATTGTGATTGTACGTGGTTTAGTTTGCACATTAGATAATACTCCGGCTTATTGATGGCGTACTTATGATGATTTTTGCAATATTAGATTGATCATTATTTATTATAATGGATTTACTTTATAAAATTAAAATTCATATTCCACGTATTTTCAACACATTTTGGCCATAGAAGGTGATAACATTTAGTAAAATAAGGTCGTTATTAAAGGTATTTAGTTGAATTATAAATCCTATGTCTTTATAGTTTCGCCAAACCTGTATAGTTTGTAATAGGCCTAGAGTTACATTCTTCCTGAGGAGAGTCAATTGTTTCTCATCGTTGTAATGGTGCCGCCTTTAAAAGACAACTGTATGCCACAGTGAACAAACACCTTTCAATTTGTCCTCAGACACTTGAACATATGTCCATATGTGACGTTGTCATCCATAGCGAAAACTCATGTGCGCCAAGGGAGATAAGTCTCCTGAGTTCTCGAGCACTAGCTCACTCGAGTAATGGATCTACCTGAATCGTACGATTATCACGTACCCTATTTCATACCTATGTATAAATACACTATGAAATAGTTTGATAAAGGAATACATTTCATACATTAAAATCCATGTAAGGAATCGATCTCACACACTTTGCAGAATGTCTGCTCCATAAAAAGTTCAAAATATGCTACTATTGCGTAGGTGCTATGTATGCGGCTTGCCTTGAAATGGCGTAGAATTGTCTCGTTTGATGAATTAAGAAGGACGCGGAATAATAGACACAAAATATTCACGCTTTTAATATATTCTTAGAAGCCATAATGCAATTATTAAGGTAAGTATGTATATGATACACTTATTTCCGTGGGAAAAAGACCCTTTCAAGCGATACTACCATTGGGCAGGATCACGGCTTGACTGTAAATGGCGTAGAATTGTCTCGTTTGGTGAATTACGAAGGACGCGTAATAAAAGACACAAAATATTCATGCTTTCAATATATCCTAAGAAGCCATAATACTATTAGTTAGGTAAGTATGTATATGATACACTTATTTCCGGTGGAGAAAGACCCTTTCAAGCGATACTACCATTGGGCAGGATCACGGCTTGACTGTAAATGGCGTAGAATTGTCTCGTTTGGTGAATTACGAAGGACGCGTAATAAAAGACACAAAATATTCATGCTTTCAATATATCCTAAGAAGCCATAATACTATTAGTTAGGTAAGTATGTATATGATACACTTATTTCCGGTGGAGAAAGACCCTTTCAAGCGATACTACCATTGGGCAGGATCACGGCTTGACTGTAAATGGCGTAGAATTGTCTCGTTTGGTGAATTACGAAGGACGCGTAATAAAAGACACAAAATATTCATGCTTTCAATATATCCTAAGAAGCCATAATACTATTAGTTAGGTAAGTATGTATATGATACACTTATTTCCGGTGTAGAAAGACCCTTTCAAACGATACTACCATTGGGCAGGATCACGGCTTGACTGTAAATGGCGTAGAATTGTCTCGTTTGGTGAATTACGAAGGACGCGTAATAAAAGACACAAAATATTCATGCTTGGAATATATCCTAAGAAGCCATAATACTATTAGTTAGGTAAGTATGTATATGATACACTTATTTCCGGTGGAGAAAGACCCTTTCAAGCGATACTACCATTGGGCAGGATCACGGCTTGACTGTAAATGGCGTAGAATTGTCTCGTTTGGTGAATTACGAAGGACGCGTAATAAAAGACACAAAATATTCATGCTTTCAATATATCCTAAGAAGCCATAATACTATTAGTTAGGTAAGTATGTATATGATACACTTATTTCCGGTGGAGAAAGACCCTTTCAAGCGATACTACCATTGGGCAGGATCACGATTGACTGTAAATGGCGTAGAATTGTCTCGTTTGGTGAATTACGAAGGACGCGTAATAAAAGACACAAAATATTCATGCTTGGAATATATCCTAAGAAGCCATAATACTATTAGTTAGGTAAGTATGTATATGATACACTTATTTCCGGTGGAGAAAGACCCTTTCAAGCAATACTACGATTGGGCAGGATCACGGCTTGGCTGTAAATGGCGTAGAATTGTCTCGTTTGGTGAATTACGAAGGACGCGTAATAAAAGACACAAAATATTCATGCTTTCAATATATCCTAAGAAGCCATAATACTATTAGTTAGGTAAGTATGTATATGATACACTTATTTCCGGTGGAGAAAGACCCTTTCAAGCGATACTACCATTGGGCAGGATCACGGCTTGACTGTAAATGGCGTAGAATTGTCTCGTTTGGTGAATTACGAAGGACGCGTAATAAAAGACACAAAATATTCATGCTTTCAATATATCCTAAGAAGCCATAATACTATTAGTTAGGTAAGTATGTATATGATACACTTATTTCCGGTGGAGAAAGACCCTTTCAAGCGATACTACGATTGGGCAGGATCACGGCTTGACTGTAAATGGCGTAGAATTGTCTCGTTTGGTGAATTACGAAGGACGCGTAATAAAAGACACAAAATATTCATGCTTTCAATATATCCTAATGTAACATGTTATGTTTGGGGTTAACACTTTCTCAGTAAAGTACATATTCTAGTACTTTTGGGGGCTAAGTTCCATCGGATCATTTGTTACATACTGTAATGTAGCTCTGATGGTTATCTTGCATTAAAAATCACTAACAAGCTTTTACTTTTGTTATGTAGTTATTTCCAAAAGAAACGCAAGATCAATGAATAATTAACAAATCTCATTGGAACACTAGGAAGCTCGCATCACAACAGCAGCCAAGGGTCGCTACCTTCAGGTCTTCAACACAGAACACTAACTGCAACGTCCACTGCAACACCAATTCTTGGTCTACGTCCCATACGTCCACGGCCATAACAATTAACGAGCAATATCCGAGCCGGAAGGCCCTACCACTGCAAACGCAAAGACGTCGGGGTTGTCTTTCCCTATGTGGTCCTTGGAGGCAGAAGCAAAGAAACATTCATTACAACTGATTAATTGGTGAACATCCAGAAAGTGTCCGGCGTTGGTGTTTTTAAGCGTAAGATAGACGAAATAACCCCATGCCTTTTGCAAACAAAAATCACCTGGGAAGTGTAATTTACGGAAGCCTTTTAGGGCCATTTGTTTTTTATATTTTTTTCGATACTGTCTTGAAATATCAAGATATAGAAGTTGAAATTTCAAGATACTAAGTTGAAATTTCAAGATATAGAAGTTAAAATTTCAAGATATAAGTTGAAATTTCAAGATAGTAGTAATTTATATCAGGATCCCAGTAAGTATTTTAAACAGCTGTGAAAAACTACATTTTTCTTTTTCTGTTTAGCGTCAATACGTTTTAGTACACATTCTGTTGCCTGCTGAATGTCTGACCACGCCCGCATTCACGTCACGTGACGTTGTATATAATTTCTCTACATTATGAACAACACTTTTCCATAAAAGTAAAGGTTGTGGTAACACAAATCCATTATTCCTTTAAAAGAAAATTATGGTATTAGTCACAGTCCGGAAAAACGAGCCTGTGAAACATTGGTCTTTTGATTGAAAACATTTCTCAAAACTTACTGGTTTTTATGCCAAGCTGAAATTTGACTTGATACCATTGATAGCTGAGTCACTGCCAAGTTTATAACATGCAAGCTAGATGGGAGATTTCAACCAGTCAGTCCCTGAACCATATTTTATTCCCTTCCGCCCGGCCCTTTCTGCAATGCAACAGCCCGAAATAGAGCAAATTTGGATTTTCCTCACATTCTCAATGAGGCTCCTTTTAAATTTAAATGGAGTTGTTTCTTTTAAAATTATTTATTCTCACAGACGAAGCGTAAGTCTAGCACCATGCAACACGACCTTGAACTTTCTTGAACAAAATGGCGGCCAGGAAGCGATTTTATTAATGATAACCACAATGTTTGGTGTTTTATAAGCAAAATATGATATGTCAAGGGATGCCTTATCAGCCCGTGGATACATAAGGTAGTATCTTTCCTTATTAATACTTTTTAAAAATATTTTGCATATATAGATAAAGTTGTAGCCACGGATATAGCAAGACTTGCATTCGGCTGCACCACCAGGCACTGCTGGGTGCGGCCGAGGCAAGACATGCTCCTTGGTGTCAATTCTCGCTCCTCCCAGGAAATGATGGAGCAATGTTCATTAATAGTATGACCGCTAATTGTAAATGAACAGCATTCTTGTATACACAGATGCGCCGTAAGTGTGTCCAGTGTGAATTTGGGCTGTTTTACCTTTTCTCGCATGATATCTCTCTAGTATTGTCAGCCTAAAGTTTGTTAAAAAGCTCTCTTTCGAAAGTATCGTTTTGTTTAAATGGCAAGCACGCAATCGTTAGCCATTACCTGTGCTTTTTGTTCAGATAATTTAATATATTTGAAGTGGCCACTGACTATGGTATTGAAATTGAATCTAGCATGTTTTGACCGTTAATTACTTTGCCTCAGTTGCGTGGATCAATGTTCATGGTATCAATCACTGGATTGTCTGGTCTAGACTCGATTAGCTGGAATGTTGCTGAGTGCGGCGTAAACAACAAACCAACCAACCAACCAACCAGTACATTTATGTGTAATCTACAGGCCACAGCAAGCAGTAATCTTGATTTTCTGTTTAGAAACACATTTTGACATTTTGAAGATTGAAAAAAATAGTCTAGTAACTTCATAAAAAAAATGGTAAAATATCTTTTAAAAACTTTCAGACTTAATTCCTCAGAGACCACTGGCTGAAATACTTTGCTATGATGTGTAATAAACAATGTGGATAATAACATCATTTTTATTTATTAAACTTTTTTTATGAATTGATTTTTACCTTAATTAAGTTAACTTTTCCAAACCTTGCTACAGGGCTGAGGAAGCTGCAGTGGTATGGTGCTCAAAGCTGTACATGCCAGTTGTTGTTGTTTGTTGTGTAACGCCACATTCAGCAGTATTCCAGCTATATGACAGCATATATGAAAATAATCAGGCTGGACCAGACAATCCGGTGATTGAAATCATGACAATCAATTGGTCTATGCAAGTAGGATGCAACAACATGCATCAACCAAGTCAGCGAGCCTGACCACCCAATCCGATTAGTCTACGACAAGCATGGATTGCTGAAGATCAATTGTAACCCAGATCTTCACTGATTGTTCATGCCAGTTAAATGTCTTTTTGAAAATTATAAACAACAACCCTTTTTCTGAGATTGGGCCTGGCATGGGAAGATGATACCTTTTCATGCCAGTCAAATATAGGAAGTACCTTTCTCATAAGAAATGGCAAAAATCTTTTGCAGGGTTTGAAATTAACAGAAATCCTTGATATTATGAATTGTTCTTTTATATGTTTGAAAATAAGGGGGTCCCAGGGTCCTTCAGGTTTGTTGTTATAGTATTTAATTAAAGGAAGCCACTTAAATTTTGAACTTTTCACATTAGGGCTATGACAAGTACTCTTTGAGTCTCATGCTTAATTTTGAACCCTGTTTTAGGCCTCAGAAGATGTAGTTTCATTTGTTTGACATCTTCCACTCAGCATGCTCAGCTTCATCCGGAGAATTTCATTCAGGATCATGTTTATCATTGTTATCCAGTTTGAATTGAGTAATTTTGTTGCAGCTGAGGACCACTGCCACCAGCTGTTCGTCACACCATCACCACCACCCACAACAGAGAACTGGGCACAGAGTACACAGTCACAAATGTAGTGTCTTTAGGCTAAGCCAGGAGAGACACCATCACCACCACCCACAACAGAGAACTGGGCACAGAGTACACAGTCGCTAATGTAGTGTCTGGAGGCTAAGCCAGGAGAGACACCATCACCACCACCCACAACAGAGAACTGGGCACAGAGTACACAGTCGCTAATGTAGTGTCTGGAGGCTAAGCCAGGAGAGACACCATCACCACCACCCACAACAGAGAACTGGGCACAGAGTACACAGTCGCTGATGTAGTGTCTGGAGGCTAAGCCAGGAGAGACACACAAACACACCCAGACACATCGATGGTAGGGACAAGACAAAGTCTTATTATTATGTAGAGTAGAGACAAGCACCTGACAGCCCCTGTTGAGTACAGACAAGCACCTGACAGCCCCTGTTGAGTAGAGACAAGCACCTGACAGCCTCTGTTGAGTAGAGACAAGCACCTGACAGCCCCTGTTGAGTAGAGACAAGCACCTGACAGCCCCTGTTGAGTAGAGACAAGCACCTGACAGCCTCTGTTGAGTAGAGACTTGCATCTGACAGCCTCTGTTGAGTAGAGACAAGCACCTGACAGCCTCTGTTGAGTAGAGACTTGCACCTGACAGCCCCTGTTGAGTAGAGACAAGCACCTGACAGCCCCTGTTGAATAGAGACTTGCACCTGACAGCCTCTGTTGAGTAGAGACAAGCACCTGACAGCCCCTGTAGAGTAGAGGAGTGCACCTGACAACCCCTGTTGAGTAGAAGAGTCCACCTGACAGCCCCTGTTGAATAGAGACAAGCACCAGGCAACCCCTGTTGAGTAGAGGAGTGCACCTGACAGCCCCTGTTGAGTAGAGACAAGCATCTGACAGCCTCTGTTGAGTAGAGACTTGCACCTGACAGCCCCTGTTGAGTAGAGACATGCATCTGACAGCCCCTGTTGAGTACAGACAAGCACCTGACAGCCCCTGTTGAGTAGAGACAAGCACCTGACAGCCCCTGTAGAGTAGAGGAGTGCACCTGACAACCCCTGTTGAGTGGAGACAAGCATCTGACAGCCCCTGTTGAGTAGCGACATGCACCTGATAGCCCCTGTTGAGTAGAGACATGCATCTGACAGCCTCTGTTGAGTAGAGACATGTACCTGACAGCCTCTGTTGAGTAGAGACATGTACCTGACAGCCCCTGTTGAGTAGAGACAAGCACCTGACAGCCCCTGTTGAGTGGAGACAAGCATCTGACAGCCCCTGTTGAGTAGCGACATGCACCTGATAGCCCCTGTTGAGTAGAGACATGCATCTGACAGCCTCTGTTGAGTAGATACATGCACCTGACAGCCCCTGTTGAGTAGAGACATGCACCTGATAGCCTCTGTTGAGTAGAGACAAGCACCTGACAGCCTCTGTTGAGTAGAGACATGCATCTGACAGCCCCTGTTGAGTAGAGACATGCACCTGATAGCCTCTGTTGAGTAGAGACAAGCACCTGACAGCCTCTGTTGAGTAGAGACAAGCACCTGACAGCCTCTGTTGAGTAGAGATATGCACCTGACAGCCTCTGTTGAGTAGAAGAGTGCATCTGACAGCCCCTGTTGAGTAGAGACATGCACCTGATAGCCTCTGTTGAGTAGAGGAGTGCACCTGACAGCCCCTGTTGAGTAGAAGAGTGCATCTGACAGCCCCTGTTGAGTAGAGACATGCACCTGATAGCCTCTGTTGAGTAGAGACAAGCACCTGACAGCCTCTGTTGAGTAGAGACAAGCATCTGACAGCCCCTGTTGAGTAGAGACATGCACCTGATAGCCTCTGTTGAGTAGAGACAAGCACCTGACAGTCTCTGTTGAGTAGAGACATGCACCTGACAGCCCCTGTTGAATAGAGACATGAACCTGACAGCCCCTGTTGAGTAGAGACTTGCACCTGACAGCCCCTGTTGAGTAGAGACTTGCACCTGACAGCCTCTGTTGAGTAGAGACTTGCACCTGACAGCCCCTGTTGAGTAGAGACAAGCATCTGACAGCCTCTGTTGAGTAGAGACTTGCACCTGACAGCCCCTGTTGAGTAGAGACAAGCACCTGACAGCCTCTGTTGAGTAGAGGAGTGCACCTGACAGCCTCTGTTGAGTAGAGACAAGCACCTGACAGCCTCTGTTGAGTAGAGACTTGCACCTGACAGCCCCTGTTGAGTAGAGACAAGCACCTGACAGCCTCTGTTGAGTAGAGGAGTGCACCTGACAGCCTCTGTTGAGTAGAGACAAGCACCTGACAGCCTCTGTTGAGTAGAGACATGCACCTGACAGCCCCTGTTGAGTAGAGACTTGCACCTGACAGCCCCTGTTGAGTAGAGACATGCACCTGACAGCCTCTGTTGAGTAGAGACATGCATCTGACAGCCTCTGTTGAGTAGAGGAGTGCACCTGACAGCCTCTGTTGAGTAGAGGAGTGCACCTGACAGCCTCTGTTGAGTAGAGGAGTGCACCTGACTGCCTCTGTTGAGTAGAGGAGTGCACCTGACAGCCCCTGTTGAGTAGAAGAGTGCACCTGACAGCCCCTGTTGAGTAGAGACATGTACCTGACAGCCTCTGTTGAGTAGAGGAGTGCACCTGACAGCCTCTGTTGAGTAGAGGAGTACACCTGACAGCCTCTGTTGAGTAGAGAACTACACCTGACAGCCCCTGTAGAGTAGAGACAAGCACCTGACAGCCCCTGTTGAGTAGAGACAAGCACCTGACAGCCCCTGTAGAGTAGAGACAAGCACCCGACAGCCTCTGTTGAGTAGAGACAAGCACCTGACAGCCCCTGTTGAGTAGAGACAAGCACCGGACAGCCTCTGTTGAGTAGAGACATGCACCTGACAGTCTCTGTTGAGTAGAGGAGTGACAGCAACCATGTCTTTGCAATTAGTACCTACACATGGTCTTTCCTGAACATGAAATACTCCATCACATTCTTGTTCACCTGTTCACTGATCTCCCTTGCCTTCTCTTGTTCACTGTTCTCTGATCTCACATGCCTTCTCTTGTTCATCTGTTCACTAATCTCACATGCCTTCTCTTGTTCACTGTTCACTGATCTCACATGCCTTCTCTAGTTCACCTGTGTACTGATCTCAGATGCCTTCTCTTGTTCACCTGTTCACTGATCTCACATGCCTTCTCTTGTTTACCTGTTTACTGATCTCACATGTCTTCTCTTTTTCACCTGTTCACTGATCTCACATGCCTTCTCTTGTTCACCTGTTTACTGATCTCACATGCCTTCTCTTGTTCACCTGTTCACTGATCTCACATGCCTTCACCTGTTCACTGATCTCACATGCCTTCTCTTGTTCACCTGTTCACTGATCTTACATGCCTTCACCTGTTTACCTGTTCACTGATCTCACATGCCTTCACCTGTTCACTGATCTCACTTGCCTTCACTTGTTCACCTGTTCACTGATCTCACATGCCTTCTCTTGTTCACCTGTTCACTGATCTCACATGCCTTCACTTGTTCACCTGTTCACTGATCTCACATGCCTTCACTTGTTCACCTGTTCACTGATCTCACATGCCTTCACTTGTTGTGTGGTTAATGAAGGTTACCCCGACACAGACACACACCCAAAACCCCACCCACAACCCACTTTCACAATACACTTTTTGAGGTCAACAGTGACAGGGTAGAGAGCCTCACCAGCAATACACAGGTGTGAACACCTGAGTCATAAAGTCAGTACTAATAAACAAACAAGAATTGATTGTAAACAAGCAAATATTTTTTTCAGTACTGATAATTTTGTGTATCATGAGGATGTCTTGATTATGCACAGTAAGTGTTGCAGAAAAGTCACAAGTGGTCCAGGTCTAAACTTCAAATTCTTGTTTCAGTTCCGGTCTGCCTGGTGTCCACGGCCATGCCAAGCCAGGGCAATGGTTGGACTCGTCTGTTAGGGTCTTAGGGTCAGGGAACCAGGGCAAGGGTGGGGCTCCCCTGTTATTGTCTTTGGGTTCGGGAGCAAGGGCAAGGGTGGGGCTCCCCTATTAGGGTCTTAGGGTCAGGGAACCAGGGCAAGGGTGGGGCTCCCCTGTTATTGTCTTTGGGTTCAGGAGCAAGGGCAAGGATGGGGCTCCCCTATTAGGGTCTTAGGGTCAGGGAACCAGGGCAAGGATGGGGCTCCCCTGTAAGGGACTTAGGGTTAGGGAATCAGGGCAAGGGTGGGGCTCCCCTGTGAGGGACTTAGGGTCAGGGAATCAGGGCAAGGGTGGGGCTCCCCTGTGAGGGACTTAGGGTCAGGGAACCAGGGCAAGGGTGGGGCTCCCCTGTAAGGGTCTTAGGGTCAGGGAACCAGGGCAAGGGTGGGGCTCCCCTGTAAGGGACTTAGGGTCAGGGAACCAGGGCAAGGGTGGGGCTCCCCTGTAAGGGACTTAGGGTCAGGGAACCAGGGCAAGGGTGGGGCTCCCCTGTAAGGGTCTTAGGGTCAGGGAACCAGGGCAAGGGTGGGACTCCCCTATTAGGGTCTTAGGGTCAGGGAACCAGGGCAAGGGTGGGGCTCCCCTGTAAGGGTCTTAGGGTCAGGGAACCAGGGCAAGGGTGGGGCTCCCCTGTTAGGGTCTTAGGGTCAGGGAACCAGGGCAAGGGTGGGGCTCCCCTGTAAGGGTCTTAGGGTCAGGGAACCAGGGCAAGGGTGGGACTCCCCTATTAGGGTCTTAGGGTCAGGGAACCAGGGTAAGGGTGGGGCTCCCCTATTAGGGTCTTAGGGTTAGGGAACCAGGGCAAGGATGGGGCTCCCCTGTAAGGGTCTTAGGGTCAGGGAACCAAGGCAAGGGTGGGGCTCCCCTGTTATTGTCTTTGGGTTCGGGAGCAAGGGCAAGGATGGGGCTCCCCTATTAGGGTCTTAGGGTCAGGGAACCAGGGCAAGGGTGGGGCTCCCCTATTAGGGTCTTAGGGTCAGGGAACCTGGGCAAGGGTGGGGCTCCCCTATTAGGGTCTTAGGGTCAGGGAACCAGGGCAAGGGTGGGCTCGCCTGTTAGAGTCCTAGGGTTAGGGAGTCAGGGCAATGGTTGGGCTCCCCTATTAGGGTCTTAGGGTGAGGGAGCCAGGGCAATGGTTGGGCTCGCCTGTTAGAGTCCTAGGGTTAGGGAGTCAGGGCAATGGTTGGGCTCCCCTATTAGGGTCTTAGGGTGAGGGAGCCAGGGCAATGGTTGGGCACGCCTATTAGGGTCTTAAGGTTAGGGGACCAGGGCAAGGGTGGTGCTCCCCTGTTAGGGTCTTAGGGTTAGGGGACCAGGGCAAGGGTGGGGCTCCCCTGTTAGGGTCTTAAGGTTAGGGGACCAGGGCAAGGGTGGGGCTCCCCTATTAGGGTCTTAGGGTTAGGGGACCAGGGCAAGGGTGGTGCTCCCCAGTTAGGGTCTTAGGGTTAGGGGACCAGGGCAAGGGTGGTGCTCCCCAGTTAGGGTCTTAGGGTTAGGGGACCAGGGCAAGGGTGGGGCTCCCCAGTTAGGTTCTTAGGGTTAGGGGACCAGGGCAAGGGTGGTGCTCCCCTGTTAGGGTCTTAGGGTTAGGGGACCAGGGCAAGGGTGGGGCTCCCCTGTTAGGGTCTTAAGGTTAGGGGACCAGGGCAAGGGTGGGGCTCCCCTATTAGGGTCTTAGGGTTAGGGGACCAGGGCAAGGGTTGGGCTCCCCTATTAGGGTCTTAGGGTTAGGGGACCATGGCAAGGGTGGGGCTCCCCTATTAGGGTCTTAGGGTTAGGGGACCAGGGCAAGGGTGGGGCTCCCCTGTTAGGGTCTTAGGGTTAGGGGACCAGGGCAAGGGTGGTGCTCCCCTGTTAGGGTCTTAGGGTTAGGGGACCAGGGCAAGGGTGGGGCTCCCCTGTTAGGGTCTTAGGGTTAGGGGACCAGGGCAAGGGTTGGGCTCCCCTATTAGGGTCTTAGGGTTAGGGGACCATGGCAAGGGTGGTGCTCCCCAGTTAGGGTCTTAGGGTTAGGGGACCAGGGCAAGGGTGGTGCTCCCCTGTTAGGGTCTTAGGGTTAGGGGACCAGGGCAAGGGTGGTGCTCCCCAGTTAGGGTCTTAGGGTTAGGGGACCAGGGCAAGGGTGGGGCTCCCCAGTTAGGGTCTTAGGGTTAGGGGACCAGGGCAAGGGTGGTGCTCCCCTGTTAGGGTCTTAGGGTTAGGGGACCAGGGCAAGGGTGGGGCTCCCCTGTTAGGGTCTTAAGGTTAGGGGACCAGGGCAAGGGTGGGGCTCCCCTATTAGGGTCTTAGGGTTAGGGGACCAGGGCAAGGGTTGGGCTCCCCTATTAGGGTCTTAGGGTTAGGGGACCATGGCAAGGGTGGGGCTCCCCTATTAGGGTCTTAGGGTTAGGGGACCAGGGCAAGGGTGGTGCTCCCCTGTTAGGGTCTTAGGGTTAGGGGACCAGGGCAAGGTTGGGGCTCCATGTTTGGGTCTTAGGGTCATGGGGCAAGTATGGGGCTCACCTGTTAGGGTCTTAGGGTTAGGGAACCAGGGCAAGGGTGGGACTCCCCTGTTAGGGTCTTACGGTTAGGGAACCAGGGCAAGGGTGGGGCTCCTATGTTTGGGTCTTAGGGTCAGGGGGCAAGGGTGGGGCTCGCCTTTTAGGGTCTTAGGGTTAGGGAGCCAGGGCAAGGGTGCTGCTCCCCTGTTAGGGTCTTAGGGTCTTAGGGTTAGGGAACCAGGGCAAGGGTTGGGCTCCCATGTTTAGGTCTTAGGGTCAGGGGGCAAGGGTGGGGCTTGCCTGTTAGGGTCAAAGGGTTAGGGGTCCAGGGCAAGGGTTGGGCTCCCATGTTTGGGTCTTAGGCTCAGGGAGCAAGGGTGGGGCTCGCCTGTTAGGGTCTTAGGGTTAGGGAACTAGGGCAAGGGTGGGGCTCCCCTGTTCGGGACTTAGGGTTAGGGAACCAGGGCAAGGGTGGGGCTCCCCTGTTAGGGTCTTAGGGTTAGGGAACCAGGGCAAGGGTTGGGCTCCCATGTTTAGGTCTTAGGGTCAGGGGGCAAGGGTGGGGCTCGCCTGTTAGGGTCTAAGGGTTAGGGGTCCAGGGCAAGGGTTGGGCTCCCATGTTAGGGTCTTAGGCTCAGGGAGCAAGGGTGGGGCTCGCCTGTTAGGGTCTTAGGGTTAGGGAACCAGGGCAAGGGTGGGGCTCCCCTGTTCGGGTCTTAGGGTTAGGGAACCAGGGCAAGGGTGGGGCTCGCCGGTTAGGGGACCAGGGCAAGGGTTGGGCTCCCATGTTTGGGTCTTAGGCTCAGGGGGCAAGGGTGGGGCTCGCCTGTTAGGGTCTTAGGGTTAGGGAACCAGGGCAAGGGTGGGGCTCCCCTGTTAGGGTCTTAGGGTCAGGGAACCAGGGTAAGGGTGGGACTCCCCTGTTAGGGTCTTAGGGTTAGGGAACCAGGGCAAGGGTGGGGCTCCCATGTTAGGGTCTTAGGGTTAGGGAACCAGGGCAAGGGTGGGACTCCCATGTTTGGGTCTTAGGGTTAGGGAACCAGGGCAAGGGTGGGGCTCCCATGTTAGGGTCTTAGGGTCAGGGAACCAGGGCAAGGGTGGGGCTCCCCTGTTAGGGTCTTAGGGTTAGGGAACCAGGGCAAGGGTGGGACTCCCATGTTTGGGTCTTAGGGTTAGGGAACCAGGGCAAGGGTGGGGCTCCCATGTTAGGGTCTTAGGGTTAGGGAACCAGGGCAAGGGTGGGGCTCCCCTGTTAGGGTCTTAGGGTTAGGGAACCAGGGCAAGGGTGGTGCTCCCCTGTTAGGGTCTTAGGGTTAGGGAACCAGGGCAAGGGTGGGGCTCCCATGTTTGGGTCTTAAGGTTAGGGAACCAGGGCAAGGGTGGGACTCCCCTGTTAGGGTCTTAGGGTTAGGGAACCAGGGCAAGGGTGGGGCTCCCATGTTTGGGTCTTAGGCTCAGGGGGCAAGGGTGGGGCTTCCCTGTAAGGGTCTTAGGGTAAGGGGACCAGGGCAAGGTTTGGGCAAGCCTTTATATATAACATAGTGAGGTGTGGTTGGTAGGGGATATAACATGGTGAGTGGATGTTAGTGATGGATATAACCTTGGAGGTGTGGTTAGTGGAGGATACAACATGGAGAGTAGAAGATATAACATAGGGAATGGGGAATATAACATGGTGAGGTGTGGTTGGTGGGGATATAACATAGACAGAGGAGGATATAACATGGGGAATGGAGGATATAACATGGAAGTGGGGTAAAACATGGGGAGGTGTGGTTGGTGGGGATATAACATAGAGGAGGATATAACATGGAGAATGGAGGATATAACGTGGGGGGGGGGGGGGGGGGGTGTTGGGGATATACCATGGGTAGTGGGGGATATAACATAGGTAGCGGAGGATATAACATGGGGAATGGAGGATATAACATGGAAGTGGGGTATAACATGGGGAGGTGTGGTTGTGAGGATATAACATAGGTAGTGGAGGATATAACATGGAGAATGGAGGATATAACATGGGAGTGGGGGTATAACATGGGGAGTGGAGGATATAACATGGGAGTGAAGGATATAACATGGGGAGTGGAGTATATAACATGGGGGAATGGAGGATATAACATGGGGAATGGAGGATATAACATGGAAGTGGGGTATAACATGGGGAGGTGTGGTTGGTGGGGATATAACATAGAGGAGGATATAACATGGAGGATATAACGTGGGGGGGGGGTGTTGGGGATATGCCATGGGGAGTGGGGGATATAACATAGGTAGCGGAGGATATAACATGGGGAATGGAGGATATAACATGGAAGTGGGGTATAACATGGGGAGGTGTGGTTGTGGGGATATAACATAGGTAGTGGAGGATATAACATGGAGAATGGAGGATATAACATGGGAGTGGGGGTATAACATGGGGAGTGGAGGATATAACATGGGGAGTGGAGTATATAACATGGGGGAATGGAGGATATATCATGGTGAGTGGGGGGTATAACATGGGGAGGTGTGGTTAGATCAAACCAATTTAGTTTTCCTATTTTCTTCTGAATCAATGTACAAATAGCCAGGAGGCCACAGTAAAATGCTGTGGACGTTCATTTGAGTTTCATTCCTTGACAATAAAAGCTTTTAATAAAGAAAGCGAAACAATATGTTTGTTTGTTTGTTTGTTTTAATGCCAAACTTAGCAATATTCCAGCTATATGTCGGCGGTCCGTAAATAATCGCGTCTGGACCAGACAATGTTGTGATTGACATCATGAACATCGATCCACGCTCTGTGATGACCTGCATCAACCAAGTCTGAGAGTCTGACTACCGGACCCCATTAGTCACCTCTTACGACACCCTTAGTCGCCTTTTACGGCAAGCATGGGTTGCTGAATCTTAACGAAAACATGCACTCACTCACTCACTCAACGAACATGGTGTGTCGGCAATTTTTCACAAGATCGGTGATTACAAAACATGTTTTCTGTCGGCCTTCCGTATGTTGTATTGTGTACGGGTCGTCTAGTGTCATTACGTGCACCCCAAGAGAGACTAATCTCACACAAAGAGAGGGGAGGGAATGCTTTTGTCTAATAGCTGTTTACAGGTAATTGACACCATCTTTTCACAGATCACAGATACTCTTTCCATCAATCACGGATCATGTAAATTAGTTCATATTTCATAGATATCAGAAACCATCCATTCTTCCTTATTAAGCTGATAGTGACTCAAACCTTGTCATCGTCAGGTTTATGTGTTTGCATGTATAAACTAGGACTGCACATCATATTGTGACATGTAAACTTGGTAGCAACTTGTCAGACTATCTCAGGCGTTTCTTGATAGTTTTTGGCTGCTCCAAATTTAATACATCGTTTTCCCATTTTCGATATGAAAATAATTATTCACGTAAAAAGGCTCTTCAAAGACATCATTTTATAATTGGAAAATTCAGAAAACGGGACTGTGGAGAATAACATCGCAGCTCATTCCTAACGTGAAATATCGATTCACGACAAATGAAAACAGCCAATAATAGGTATTCCCTACCCACATAAATGTGCGTGCGTGCGTGCGTGCGTGCGTGCGTGCGTGCAAGCTACTAAACAGACGACCAAGAGAATCCCCACTTCGTTTCCTCCTTCAGGCTACAACAAATAGATCTATGTTTTTGGCTTTAATAATTCTTTATCAATGTTATTTCCAATGGCCATCTTTTCAGATCTTACAAATGTCGCCTTATTTACCAGTGGGTGCATTGATGTGTGAAAACGACTCAACCTAACAATAAATCAACAAAGTGAATTATTTGTTAATATTTGGGATAAATAGACTGTGGAAGAATTAATTGCCCTTCACTGAAATTACTCGGAACTGGCAGATCAGTACGTGTAGTGTTTTTGAATTTCTTTTCACACACTGTTCATTGATTGCTCTTGAAATAAAAGACAACAATTTAAAGCAAACGACAATGTACGTTGTAGCCCATATCAATATAAAATAGGAGAGCGAATTGAAAAAAGAATTTCCCACGTCATGTTATATCGCAGCCTATATCAGCGCGGCTGTAAATAATTGTTGTATATTTACCTGGTCTATATATTAAATCTCTTCCCTTTTCACACAGTCCCATTTGAACATACAAAAATATACTTGTAGCTCAGCTTTCACACCCAACATTTGATTAATTTTAGTGATGTAATTAATCCTCAGTATCAGTTTACCAACTCCAGATCTTTCAGAGAGGAAGCTTCATTTTTCTCTTTCACAAATATGCATCCTTCATACTTCTTATCCTTAAAAAATTACAGTTTTTTTATGAAAAATGCCATACTCCTTTAGTTTTGGTATTACTTTTTAGTTTGAGGGTTCGTTTAATTACCTTCATATTTTTGGGTTAGATTATATAAATACATTTTCACATATTAGGGCTACGAGTTTTATAACTTTCCTATATTAGGGCTAGTTTTATCCTATGTAGGCCTGTACCAACACACATATTACCACACAAGGTGCACGCCGGCTAGCAACATGTAGAGCAAGCACTGGTCGGACTCCCTCTTGTCCAATATCCCGCAGTGAGATGTTTTCAAAACATCCGCAGCACACTGTAATGCGCGGACCATTTGATTTCTATTTTGTGGAAAAAAACAAAACAGCCACCATCTGCTTGAAAAAAATATAACTCAGCCTCCATACAAAGTCTCATCAATACCGAGTATTTAGTGAGCAAAGCCATAATCTTTCATAGAGAGAGTGAGTGAGTGAGTTGGGTTTAACGCCCCTTTTAACATTATTCCAGTTATATCGCCTCCTCTCTCCTCTCTCCCATCACCCCATATCCTGGTGTTGTCCATGTCATATTCCACTGGTGTACATATGTCGCACTTCACTCAGAGAGTGAGTGAGTGAGTGAGTTGGGTTTTACGCCGCTTTTAACATTATTCCAGTTATATCGCGGCGTGTGAGTTTAATGTGGGAGGAAAGCCCGAAGTGACGCAGGTCTCAGACGTTTACCACTTCGGTGAAAACCACGAGCACGCGTATGGTGCTGACAAACCTAGAAACATAATCGGGGCGAACCGGGATTCGAACCCACAATCATAGGTTTCTGGCGTGCCCAAGGGACGCAACTCTGCACAGCGAATCGCGGCGCCTTAGACGTCTGGGCCACCCGTGCCCCCAGTAAATGTGATAATGTAGCTTTGTTGTAGACCATCTGTTGTTGCCAGGGAAGTGACTGCTCATGTGTTAGAAGATGTGGTACGTTTACTTCTCTTCCACTGTGGGTGGCACTCGCCCCTTTCCGTAACTTGCAAGAAGACTCGTACAACTATAGATGAATGTTACGTGCGAAAATATGAAAGCAGCGTAAAACCATACTCACTCACTGAGATACCCGTGAAGATCCGTGGTAGAATAGGTTTTCAGCAACCCATGCTTGCCATAAAAGATGACTGTGCTTGTCGTAAGAGGTGACTAACGGGATCGGTGAGTCAGGCTCGCTGACCTGGTTGATGCATGTCATCGATCCCAATTGCGTGGATCGATGGTCATCATATCAATCACTGGATTGTCTGGTCCAGAGCGCAGCATTAAACAACAAACAAACTTAGATGCCAGTTGCAATATAGCCACAAGAGGGGGCACGAGTTGCTATTCGGCTTGTCCTGGAATAACCCAGTTGTTGCAGCGCCTTAGACTGGGCCACCTGTGTCCCCTCAGTTATATCAACTGTGTCGATAAAGTATTATCTTCCCGATGCAAGTGAGTTAACTGACTGTAAAAGTCCAGTTTCCTCGCCTTTTAAAGTCAGTTAACTCTCTTGCCTCGGGAAGATGATAAAGTATAGGATAGAAGCTGGAATTGATGCATGTTGGAAACAATTACCATTGTCCCTAGAGTTGCCAGGTATCTCAGCTGATTATCCTTGGTTGCTTATGTTCAAGGTTCCATGACTCAAACTCTAGCCCTAATTCATTATCAGGTAGTATGATTTGTTTGTTTGTTGTTTAACGCGGCACTCAGAAATATTCCAGCTATATGACGGCGGTCTGTAAATAATCGAGTCTGGACCAGACAATCCAGTGATTGATATCATGAGCATCGATCCACGCAATTGGGATCAATGACATGCATCAACCAAGCCAGCGAGCCTGACCACCCGATCCCGTTAGTCGCATTTTACGACAAGCATAGTCACCTTTTACAGCAAGCATGGGTTTCTGAAGACCTATTCTACCCCGGAATCTCCAGGGGTCAGGTAGTATGAGATGGTAATGAGACATTTCGGCATATGGATGAACTTCTTTATTACAATTAGGAGTGACATTTCGGTGAAGGTTTAACACCGTTATCAAGCAAGGACGTTAACGTCTGGCGCCACACAGGCAGCTTGAGTAGTATACTCCCCAGGGAGCTGAGAAAGAACATATGAGTGCACACATATCAATTGAGCAGCGTATACCAAATACAAATATCCATTTGTTATGATACATAAATAATTTCAATAAAAGAGGTGAGGTGGAATTGGGTTTAAGGTTGCGTCCAAGGTTATTGCACTTATATAGGGATGTGCATGCACATGTGTGTGTGGCTGCTTGTACTAGTCCAGACAGATGCCGATTTATAGTGCTAGCCCACTGAGATACCATGCCGCAGTTTAACATGAATACCCCACTCAGACACAGTATACTGACTCCGAACCGACCAGTCCTTGTTTTAGCCCCTTAATGCCGAGCGCCAGACAGGGTAACAACAAGTACCATCTTTTAACGTCTTTTGGTATGACGCGGCCGGGGATCGAACCCCGGACCTTCCGCTCTCCGGGCGGACGCTCTACCACTAGACCACGGAGGTGGTCTTCAATAAAAGAAACAAACACAGAATTACTCAACATATTTATTAATAACACTGACAAAATACAAGCATATTTAACATCAAAATATCAGTATGAAATGTAAGCACAACAACAGATTCAATAATTCTCCTGCTTGAAAACAATTAAGTAGATCATGTCATGAAGAGGTCAAATGGATTTTCATGAGTCAATGATCATGTTAGCTAGCACTGGATTACACTTGCATCTTTAAAAAACAATGCTCAACTAAGATGGACACATAATACTGTAAACTAAACAATACTCCTGAAACCCAGGAGTTGCTAATACCATGAACACATCACTACACAAGGATAAAGCTCTAGATGTCTCGTTGTTCATAGGTAAGGCAACCTACTGCGTCTCCTGTACAGGGCTATGTTGTGACATTGTTGTTTGAGTGAGTGAGTGAGTTGGGTTTAACGCAGCTTTTAACAGTATTCCAGTTATATCACGGCGTGTCAGCTTAATGTAGTAGGAAAGCCTGAAGTGATGCAGGTCTCGGACGTTTACCACTTCGGTGAAACCAATGGGTATGGTGCTGACAAACCTAGAAACATAATCGTGGCGAACCAGGATTCGAACCCACAATCATAGGTTTGTGGCGTGCCAAAGGGATGCAACGCTTAGACCACTGGGCCACCAGTGCCCCCTTGTTGTTTGAGTGAGTGAGTATGGTTTTACGCCGCTTTTAGCAATATTTAAGCAATATTACGGCAGGGGACACCATAAATGGGCTTCACACATTGTACCCAGGTCTTTGGCAAGACAAGTAA